CCAGAAGCAGCTGATGTGTACCAGCAGTCTAAGCGGCAGGTGGCTCGGCTGGTTGCTGAAGCAAAAACTCGGATGTGGGAAGACTTCGGAGAGGCCATGGAGAAAGACTTCAGTACGGCTTTGAAGTGATTCTGGTCCACAATCCGGTGTCTCAGGAGGGGGAAGCAATTCCCCCCAAACGACCCCCTTTCAGAGTAATGGCCCAGTATCGGGTATTGCAGGCTAATAAAGAACCCCAAAAAGACTCCCCATTCCTAAGGGGCGTACTCGTCCTTCTGGTTCAATCTGAATGTTTTTTAAGCCAAAACAAGTTTTTGGCTACTATATAACTATATAAAGCTTTGAACTCAACCCTAATTCTGACATTTTGAATTAAAAATGCTTCCTGGATGGGAAGCAAAACATCTTTAAACCTGGAAAAAAAAAGTCCAGTGGATTGTTTTCCTTACTTTTTTTTGGAATGACTATGACCTGGATGAGGGAGAATCTTCACCAGCATAAGCTCCAGCAGAAGAATATCAGAGATTAGGAAGATCCCAGGGTTCCAGCAGAAGGATGATCAGACAGATGGAAGTCTGGACAGAACCAAAGAACTGAATCCATTCTTCATCAGGTTCAGTTCAGCATCTTTCTCTCCTGCCCACAGTCACATGGACATCCTGCCCTCCTCTGACATTCACTCTCCTGCTTCTATTATCAGCCAGACCAGCAGGTGGAGCTGCTCCCTCCACCTTCCACCTGTCTGCCTCTAGAAGTCAGTAAAGAGGCAACAGGAGAGACTGGATGGTAATCAGTCAGCAGGTCCTGATGGTGTCAGAGTCCTGAAGGCCTGAGCAGAGCAGCCCTGTTGGATTCTACAGCACTTCAGCAAGCAAACCAGCAGCTATCAAGACCCCCTGCAGTTTGTTTATCGCCATGGAGATGGAGTTGATGACATCATCATCCACATGCTTCAATAAACCCACTGTCATTTAGCCAAGGCAGACAGCACTGTGAGGATAGTGGTCTTTGATTTCTCCAGATTCAGACTGACTTACTTTCAGAGAAACTCCAGCAGACTCAGGTGGAGGCATCAACAACCACCTGGATCAAAGACTACCTGACAGACAGACCACAGGTTGGTAGACTGAAGGCTCAGCTGTCTGATCCAGCAGCACAGGAGGTCCACAGGGGACGGTACTCTCTCCATTCCTTTTCCCTCTGTTCACCTCTGACTTCCAGGACCAGACAGAGTCCTGTCATCTGCAGGAATCCTGGGATGACTCTGCAGTCATTGGGAGTATCAAAGATGGAGCAGAAGCTGAGGACAGAGAGCTGGTGAAGCGCTTTGTGGCATGGTGTGGAAACAATCATCTGATCCTGAAGGTCAACAAAACAAGGAGATGATTGGAGATTTCAGAACAAGTTGAATCCTGTTAACATCCTGGGAGAAGAAGTGGAGGAGGAGTAGAAATCCCTTGGTCCATCATCATCATCATCATCATCATCATCATCATCATCATCATCATCATCATCATCATCATCATCATCAGCGCTAATGACTGAAAGAAGCTCAATCCGCTGATAAAGAAGGCCGGCTCTGTTCTAGGAACTCCTCTAGAAGTGAGCATCCTCTTCATCAGACTGTTCGACACCAACAGAGGCTCTTCAGTCAGAGGCTGATCCAGACAGACCTCTACAGAAGATCCTTTCTGACTATAGCTATCAACATCTACATTAATTGGTTTAAACAAGATTAATTATTGTAACATTTAATTTCATTTTGTGATAAATAAAGTATTGAATTGAATACAGGCACAAGCACAGACATTTTTTACATGTGCACGTCAAATATGCAGAGGGGCTAATCCACTGCCTTTAGATTCATTCTAATTCTAACCTTATCTCTAAGTTTTTTGTTATTTAATCTTCTTTTACTTCACTTCTGTTTAGTTTTATTTGTTCTCTTTCACAGAGATCCTTGGACCTTCATTGTCAGAAAAGGTTTTCCTTCTTCAGCTGTGGAGGATCATACAGTCTATCAAGGTAGAATTCAGCTAAAAACACTATCAAATAGACAGGAAATGACTGAAATATCTTCATGTTTAGAGAACTCTGATTATGATATAATACATTCTAAAATAAGAATATTAGTGATGAGCCCTCCAAAGCATGTTTTGCTGTTTTGAGCTGGAAACTTCTCTCAGATTAGGCAGTCTACATTTTTTCAAAACAAGCTATTTTAGCTTTCCACACCCCCATCCTTCTGAAGTCTGCAGCCCTACAACACAACCATGACAACCTGTTAGAGTTTTGAATGGTAACAGCTGGGATTAATAAGAAGATGAAGACCGACCTAGATCGATAGGCTTCTACAGACCCTTCTGTGCAGCCTATGTGATAACAACACATAGCAATAGCAGCTTGATCAGATGGGCGCTCATTCATTCAGTTATGTTTTCAACAAGGATATTATATATATCTTTATTTCTGGGAAATACAGACAAATCTCTCTCTAAACATCTCAACAAAGAGCACAGAGCATTGCTTCTAAAGATGAAACAATCCCATTTTTAAAGGCGCCTAGAAACC